CAGATCCCATCAGCTTCAGAGAAGGATCTGGAATCTAAGAATGACCCTACTTTCTGAGATCCATATCCTAGGGGCAGTGCTCAATATATTTTTATCACCTCTTTTCATTTTTTCTTTTTTTTTCCCTTCCTCTACCCTGCTGATGAGTGAGAAAATGTGTGCTAGACCTAAACGAAGGTTTCTAGCAATTTTTATTCAAGTATGTCCACATAACACAGAAGATCATGCACTGTTAACATTTTAACATCAAGATGGTTGTTTTGATTGTGTAACCTTCTGAGGAAAAAGCAGAGCCTGTTGAATCAGAGATAAAGAGGGGTTTACCGAGGTATGACCAGTTTAGCTTCTTCCTCATAATGACTCTTGTACAAAAATTGATATATGGTACATGGGAGGATTTTGAAACCACAAGTGTCTAGCTTGAATTTAATGAGGATTTGACTACATCCACCCAAAATTAAGGACCTTGGCCAGTTTGATGGTGTCTATGTCAATGCTAGCTTCCTCTCTGAGCAACAGCCATGCTTCAAAAATTATGCAGGACCTGTATTAAACAAGAAATTAGCTGTATTAAAATGAAGCTAAGATAACTAGTTAAAGCAAACATTTGGATATGAGGCAGCAACTCTATCTCCTGCCTCCCAGTTGTGTAGATATTTGTTTTGCTATGCAAAATCACCAAAGAAAAAAAGCATAATCCTGACCCTCTCAAGAAAAGTCTTTAAGTTGTTTTGGTGGCTTCTACCTTATTCATTTCTCCATAGTGAAGACTTCCATTGTCAGTCTTGATGCCGTTTGCTTTCTACATGTGAAGTAAAGGTACAGATCCAATAGACTGGACTGAAAGGATTTGCGTTTCATCCAGGCCTCTTTTCTTCCTTTTCTTTTAACAATATGTTTTCTGAAATACTTGTGATAAAAATTAAACAGTACAGAAAACACCATTTTTATGCAGCTACAGAGTACAAACAGAATGATGTTGGTTACTTAATGTGGTGCATGCCACAGAACAGCACATTCGCTTGAAACTGCATTTATTTAAATTCCCAATCTGTGTGATTCCATTCACTTTTTTTTTTTTTTTCTGAATAGTTCTTGGACATGAATGCTGTATCTGAATTAGGAAATAACACATGTATGGCACACATATGTACACACATAGCTATGCAAATTAGGATGGGATATCAGTTGTTCTTTCCTGGTAAATGGCAGAAGGTCACAGTTTGGGATTATCCATCCTCGTAGCAAAGCGCACCACAGCAAATGGGCCAGCCTAGAAGCTTTTTAGCAGGGTTTGTGCTTTGGGAAGAGCTTTATGGCTTGGGGAAAAGCTGCAGAGGCAGGTTCAGGTTTTCTTCCATCTCCCACAGGCTCCAGGGGTATCTAGGAGTATGTCACTAACAATAAAATAAAAAATACATGTTATACATAACTTTATCAATTTGCATAAAAAAAAAAAAAGCCATTTGTTCAAAGCATCATTGCTTATAAAGATGGTGAAATGTTAAACTAAATCAAATCTGAATTCCATGTCTGATAGAAAAATAGATATTACCAGCAAAGTTTTCCTGGATAAAAACATGTTGTACAGTCAAAACATATACATATAGGTATACATAAATATAAGTATAAATATATATATATGTATAAAAATGGTTAAATATAAAAAGAATGACAAATGTCATGGCAAATGCCTAATGTGTCCACAGTTGGCAATACCCCTTCTTGTGTGATACTAACTATTGTTAGTTAAAGTAGAAAAGGAAAGAAAAGACATTGAAATTAAGCAATGCTAACTTGTAGCAGAAAGGAAAGATCTAGGCTTCTGACATTTCTGTCTCATGTAATAATAGGTTTCGGTTCATTCTATTAAAATATCAGAGCACGAATCACTTGAAATTTCATATCATGACTGATTTTCCCAGAAATATTTGATGTCAGACTCTGTGTTAGTATTTTTAATTTTTTTTTTTCTCAAGAGAAAGGGTCTTATTTCATATGCTTCTGGAAATAAAACTGTTACAAAAGAAACTCTCTTGAAGTTCTGTAATGGTTGCAGTTTTGAAAAACAGGAAATAAAGCTAAGTAAATGGAAAATTTTATAGTTTGCAAAAGCACTTGCTGAGTGCTTTTTATGTCATGCTGTTCCCTGATCTCATGAGAGCTGACAGATCTTAGAACAAGAGGGAAAAATAATTGCCTCAGAACCACTAAAGTCATAACTACATTTCCTTCAATTTCCAGGAAGCTGTCTTGAACAATAGCAGAATAGAAAACCCCACGAAACCAGTAAAAAAACTCGGTCCCTGATTTCAGTCAACTAGTCATGATGTTTTGAAGTTTACATTTTGGCTGAAAGAGACTTCTTATGAAATTCCATCAATATTTTCAGAAAATACAGAAAAATAAAAAAAATCTGTTTTTTTTTAAATTAAAAAACCCTAACCCTCAGAGCACAACTTTATTTTAGAAACTACATTTTTCTTTAAAATATACCTAAGCTAACTCCTCATCTAGATTTAAAAACTCAGACAAAAATGAATATTTTCTTTCAGATAGAACTGCACCTATTGCTTGCTACAAACTTACTAGGAATTGTAGCATGGAACAACGTCATATTTTGTTTAAAAGCTAGCAGTCTGGGGGTTTTTCTATATTTCACATCAGCCTGCCATTTCTAATGCAAATTATTTTCATAGCTCTGTATGGAGCATACCTTTTTCTGATGCCCACTGTGCATTCAGTATTAATATTGATTATGAATTAATATTTAATGTGAATATTGTATTAATATTATTGATCAACATATTTTAATTTAATTTTAATTTAATTTTAATTTAATTTTTTACTGGTTACTCCTGTTCATTTTTGCATATTCATTTCAAGGATAGCTCAAATTTAAGGATAGGTTTGCTTTTAATAAGGGCATAATTTTCAGAATCACTTTTAAAATTGAACTTTATGTCTTGATTATAGAATGGAAACGGTTTCAATACTAATATTTCTCAACTGTATACTACAGCATTAATACAAATATATCCTAAAATAGTCATGGAGAAAATATTATCCTAGAATCATAGGATCACAGAATGGTTTGAGTTGGAAGGAGCCTTAAAGATCATCTATTTCCACCCCCCCTGCCATGGGCAGGGACACCTTCCACTAGACGAGGTTGCTCAAGGCCCTCTCCAACCTGGTCTTGAACACTGCCAGGGATGGAGCATTTGTCACTTCCTTGGGCAACCTGTTCCAGTGCCTCACCACCCTCACAGTACAGAATTTCTTCCTTATATCTAACCTAAAACTTCCCTTTTAATTTTGATCATCTCTTCTGTTTATCATCAGATATAGGTAAATGACAAGCATGTATTTAATAGAAACTCTCTTTATCTTGTAATTAGTCAGCTCAAATACTCTTAAATACAGGTAATGTTCCTGTGTGGATCCAAACCTGCACAGCAGAGCTTTTCAATATGCTGATGTCATGGTTTAAACCCTAGCCAGACAGCTTGTTCACTCACTCCCAGTGAGTGGTGCCGGGCTGAGAGCAATCGAGCCCCGCCACAACCCCCCGCCCCCCGGGGCTCTCTCCTTCCCCGCTCCCGGAGGAACGGGGAGGAGGATCGAAAGAGTGCAACTCCTACAGGTTGAGACAAGAACAGTCCAGCAACCAATGTACAACACAAATCACCACCGCTACCACCAACGACAACAATGAGAGAAAATAACAAGGGAAGAGAATACAATACCACCGGCCAAGAAACGAGTCCCACCCGAAAGCCCGTGTCCTTCCGGGTAACTCCCAGTTACCCCCCAGCCCGGGCATGACGTGCTGTGGTATGGAATACCTCTTTGGCTAGCCCGGGTCAGGCGCCCTGTCGCAGCTTCCTCACGGCTTCCCCTCCTCCCTGGCAGAGCATGAGCCTCACAAAGTCCTTGGTCAGGGTGAACATCACTCAGCAACAACCGAAAACATCGGTATCACCAGCACTGTTCCCAGGCTGGAAGTCAAAACACAGCACTGCACCAGCTACCATGAAGGAGAAACATGACTGCTACTGCTGAACCCAGGACAGCTGATTAAAAGCATCTGCAGACATCATCTGTAGACAGCAAAAGCTTATCTATTTTTTTGCTACCATGAACATCTATCCTGGCTGGTAGATTACGGTCAGTTTCTGAAACATGTTCAGTCTATCCCTCTTCTCCCTGGTAGGTCACCTACTCCTTCTCTGAGGGGGTTTTGAAGCTTGTCTTGGCAAGATGGAAAGAGATGTTACAGAAATCACCATTAAAAATTTTAAATCCCAGTCATAGTTTGCCAGAGGGTGCAGAGTTTAAATGGATAAGGTTTTTTGGCTTCAGGTTCCAGACCCTGCCATGGCTCCCACCACACTGTATATTTTTGTAAAAGAGGCCAGGGCCACCTGTTTTTATCCCATGGCAAGAGTGGCAGTGGCCTGACTAGGTTCTCTGCTTATTCTTCAGCCTCTCTTGTAAAGAAAGGCAAGGACCATATCACAGGTATCCTGAGGCATATTCAGCTGGTTCTCCGTTTAGACCACCTTGAAGTAAAAGTATAGGTATTTTAGCCTGCATTGTTTCTAGAGTTTTCTTTTAACACCTTATCCTTTACACTATCCAAACAGGTAGTCTGACCTTGTTTGGGTAGTGTGAAAACCACTGAAGAGACTGATGGCAACAATAAAGAATTTACTTTGGCATGCAGAAAAATAGGGAAGGGCTCACCTGAACTGAGAGTTGAAAGGAATGTTCCACAACAAACTCCTGCTAGGAACACAGAAATGATTGTCCAGGGCACCTAAACAAAACATTATGAGAAAAGTTCTTTTTCAGAACCACACAAGAAAGAAAAAAAATAATAGAAATTGGTGAATATTTTCCCTGTGCTATCTTGCTTTTTAATTATGATTATGTTTTAAATTAATACATGCCAGAAGTAAATATTTTCTTTTTGTCTGTTTTTACACCCAAAACAGCAAAGAAAGAAGTAAAAGTACACGGTAAGTCCTGAAAGTCAGTAAGTTTTAGAGTCTTATTTATATTGTATTATTATTATTTATATTATATTTTAACTTGAGACAGGATTAGGTAAATTGTCAAAAAAACGAAGCCAGAGATAAATATTTGATCATAGTTACTTGAGCAAGTGTATGGCTGTGGAGCAGACATACAGCCATTTGGTCTTCCAGAATTAAGATCTGATCAAATGGTGCTGGGAAGAACAAGGGTGAGAATTTTTTATTTCAGCTTTTACAAGATTTAGATTTCTAAGGAAGGGGAACTGCTTTGAGGTTACAGGAAATGTTCTCCAGGATGGAGAACAAAACACAAGATAAGAGCTTCAGAGTGTGGAGGAGAGGAAAAATTTAGATTGTTTAGTTTGTATTTATTCCAAGTACCAAGCATTTCATTGTTGTAGCTTGGTGCTCTTCTTATTCCTAACTGGAATCTGCTTCTACAGTTTATCCAAATTTGTGAGAGTATAAAGATTTTCAACTCCCTTTGCAGCCAAGCTTGATGACTCATTCATCAGATGATTATTTTCTCAGACATGAATTCTGAGCAAAAAAAAAACCCTACTGTAGACTGTCAATTTATAGAAAAATGACTGTCCTTTTCCATAGCAGAAAAATCTGTTACAGTGCTTCAGAATGAAGGTGTGAATAATGAAGAAAGAAAAATGTGTTAGTTCAAGTAATTTTGATTTAGCTAATGCAATTATGAAGAATAATAAATAAAACTGAAAAAAAAATGATCGAGGAAGACTATTAAAATTGGATATTCCCTTTTTTATCAATACTAGAAGAGCTCTGTGGTTTGAGCTTTCAATAAACTAAAAAGAAAAACAAAATCCTTAACTTCCAAAAATTACTGAAATTGTTAAAAGGAGATTTCTATTGCATGCCCATGTTTGATATGTGCCTACTCTGAAACCTGCTTTCACTCCTTCGCTCAGCCTCACTACTTGAAAATTGTGGAGATATTGAAGTTCCATATATAACTTACCTATTGACCTTGTTTTCCACTGCTTTTAGTCTGCAGGTTAATCAGTCATCTACCATGAGATTATCCAAAAAAATGACATATATGTGTGTCAGTTTTTGTCTGCATTAAAAAAAATGAATGCCTGCTCTACGTAGAGAAGTAGCATATTGACCAAAGGAACAGATGTTAGGATCAATCATAATTTCTTTATGCATTTGCAAAATTTGTTTCCTGGAATGTTTTCTTTTATTTTACAGCATCTGTGGAAACTCTGAAGTCAAAAGGTGGGTTACTTTACTTGTTTTTAAAATGGAAAGGGAAGAATGCTGTTGCTAATTCCACTGTTAATGAAGGAGCTTCTTGTGACAAAACTGCTGGCAGGTGTGAATTATCTAAGACAAAGTGGACCTTTTAAACTGTATCAGCTCCTTCCTTGCAGGACCTCAAAGCACCTCTACAAAAAAGGTGTCTTTTCTCTGAGTTGTCCATGGACTAAAAAAACTGTAATTCTCTGTCTATATCAAACTCAGTTTCTAACCCTAACTCAAACCGAAAGGCTTTTGTTAAAGGCAGAAAGAAGAAGTGCCAGTCCAGCTGCAGCACAAACCCAGTGCCTGAATAGTTTTTTCTTTACTGAGACTGAGAATTTTTACAGTGAGGTTCAGTGAAAGAGTTTTTATGTTCCTTTCATGTAATAACTGCTGATGGTAGAAGGTGGGATGTGTGGGAGCATCAGTGCTTGCTCCAAGGGTTGCTTGCTCCTTTCCAGAAGGCACAGAAAACTGAGACTAGTGAGGAACATCAGGGGCTTAAGTCTGAGCTGAGCAAATGTTTAATTGTTCATGCCACTTCTACCATATATACAATGCAAGATACTAGCTCTGAATTGCCTTCATGAACATTACAGATGTCACTTGTATCTTAGACACAAATGGAAAATGGAATGGCAAGTTACAAACTGCACTTCACTCTTAGTCCATTTTTATTCATATCAATGACCACCTTGCTTTATAAACATTCCCTTTCAAACAAATGGGACTGTGTCGTGGTTTAAACACAGGCAGACAGCTTGTTCACTCACTCCCCCCACCCCTTCTTGCCCTCCCCCTACTCCCAGAGGGATGGGAAGGAGGATCAAAAGAATGCAACTCCCACGGCTTGAGATAAGAACAGTTTGGTAACTAAGGTATAACACAAATCACTACTGCTACCACCAATAATAATAATGATAAAGGAAATAACAAGGGAAGAGAATACACCACCTCACCACCCCCTCCCCCCAGCCCAGCCAAGCACCGACCGATACTTCCTCCAACCCTGCCGTCCTAGTCCTTCCAGGTAACTCTCCGTTACATCCTGGGCATGACGTGCTGTGGTATGGAATACCTCTTTGGTCAGTTTGGGTCAGGTGTCCTGTCTCTGCTTCCTCCCGGCTTTCCCTCCTCCCTGGCAGAGCATGAGGCTCACAAAGTCCTTGGCCAAACTGAAACATCATTGTTATCAGCTCTGTTCCCAGGCCGAAAGTCAAAACACAGCACTGCACCAGCTACCAAGAAGGAGAAAAATGACTGCTACTGCTGAACCCATGACAGACTGCACGTATCAACTGCTTAGACTTGTGGACTGTGGTATCCAAGCTGTCTCTCACAAGACAAATGCAGGGAAATGAGAATTACCAGTTTTTAATACACTGCTATTTTTCAAGCACCTTCTACTTCAGAGCTTGTCTCTGAAGCTTCATTCGCATTAACCAGTAAATAAGTAGTCAGGCTGAATTGTGAGGCAGTGGAGTGCTCTTCTGGAGCATGAGGAAGAGATGCAGAATCACAGCTGTGGAGATTAATGTAAGGAAATCAAAGCTGATATATTGGTCCCTTTACTGGATATTTTTAAGTTCCCTGCTTCATGGGCTAAATTCATAACACTGTCATTGCTCTGCAGCTAATTGTGTTGAGCAAAACACAAAAAACACAAAGCAGAATAATTTAGGTATTTCTTTCTACTCCCACCAGACAAAACGCAGAAACTAAAGGGGGGGGGGGGGGGGGGAACAAAAAGTATGTGGAGTTAAGCTTTTATATTTTAGCAAATTCTAGACAGCCAAAGCTGAAAATAAAGGTAGCCTTGCTGCTATGGGTGATTGCTTTCCCCTATTGTTTGAAGCCTCTAAATAAATCTTTTGAGACATTATTATTTCTTTTGTAATGTTGTAGTATGCATATAAAGTCAACTTCTCAACATCTGTGAACCCATTTCTGCCAAGCCTATGTCCTTCAGGGCCTGAAAAAAATGAACTAATGATGCATTTGTTTCTCACAGAATTAAGTCTGTTTTTGCAAACTTTAGATTTTCTTTAGCCACTACTGGGAAATATTGTCATATATCGTTTGAAATTGTTATTCTCCTGGATTGTGTCTATAGTTTTATTAAGAATTACTTTGTTTAGGTCACTTGTAAAGAGAAACAGAATTAGCAGGGGGTTTGAAACTGCAGAGCTTTTACTTCTATGCTTTATTGCTCTGAGTAGCTTCAAATTTTTCTGGTGAATACCCTATTTCATATTTTATTAGATAAGAAGCAAACATTTGTATAGGTAATAAGTCTTCATCATGTCTTCAGCATTTTGCAAGATGGAAGTGAACTCTTCCTTATGAGCTATTGAATTAAGGGGCACTTGAACAAAATTTGTAGGAAGTTCACAGTTCATTAAGAATGAATAGAAATTTATCTATTATATAAAACAAGAATCATTCTGTTATTTCTGTTGTCAACAGAGCAGTCTCACAACTGAAAATTTTGGTCTTGGCCATCCATAGGATCAGTTGAATGTTGAACCTGAAAATATTCTCCAGTATTTAAGTAAATAACAACTTTGTTTTAGTCAGTCACCATTGAAGAGAAATAGCTGATGTTAGCTCTGAAGTAATTGTTAATTTCTTAAAAAAATTACTTGTTAACAAGTGATCTAATTTTTAACATTAAGTTGCTAATTTTGAAACTCAAACATAGCCTGTACTCCAGGGGAAAAATAGTATTTATATTAAAATATTACATCTGTTCTTTTTACCTCTTAGTAAGAAATCACAAAGGAATGCTATTATTTTCTTCTAAATATATATTTATGATGACAAATTCCAGTAGTGTTTAATAGCTAAGACTGAACAAAATCACTCTTTTTGAATCTCTATTTGCTCTTTAATGCTGCTCTTTGTTTGCTTGTTTACCATTTTTTCTGTTATTAATCCATTTAGAGTAGCAACACTCTGGGTGCAACATGGTTTCCAATATTCAGTAACTGTTGGCAAATTTTGAAACTTTTAAGCATATTCACAGAAGACCAACAGTTCTGTTCTGAAACCCCGCAAGCCTTTTGATCAAATTCTCTTCTTTGGTAATTAAAAAAATCTGCTGGCATGGAGGAGGTCTGGGCCACTCCAACTAACTTGTACTTCTGATGAACTATCAAGTTCATATTAAGTTTTGTTGCATTTTCTCATAAAAGTTTCTGTAATGCCACTATGGCAAGAAATTTTTTCATTTCTTCATGTAATAGAACAGTTCCTAAACCATAAGACACCCCTTAGGTTCATGACCTCTTGATATTAGTGATGCCACGATGAAGAGATCCTGTTTCTGATCTCACGGTTCAGTTTGTGAAGTGTTTATTGTCTCCAGTCAGAGTGTTTTCTTTCAGCTTTTCTTCACACTGAGTAAACATCTCAAAATAGTTTTAAAACCAGTGACATTTTGGAATGCATATTTTTGATGTGGATGTTAGTTATGCAACCTGACTCTTTTAGGATAAAAACATTCTGACAATTTGATTGTAGCCTACAACTATTGAGACTGCAGAAATATTTGACTGATGAATTGCTCTCCTGGCTACTTTGAGCACAAAACAATATCTGCTAAGCTATCTCTCATTTGATTCTCAAGAGATTATGGAATCAGAGAAACAATCCTCACAGAAATCATCCATTTGATCTACATTATGCCAAGCTGTCAAGAAATTTTACTAATGACAAAATATAAATGGAGTTCAGACTCCATTTACTTCATCTATTTTTTAAAACTATAATTTACTGAAAATATGGATCCCTAACAAATTTCTACCTTTCCCTTTATGTGCATTCATTTAATTTTTTATTGTTTCAGGCAGGAGGGAGCAAGTGGTTTTGGTTTGGTTTTCTGGAGGGATTTTTTAACATCTGGTGTTCTTCTGCTGAGGAATAAATTATTAAATGCTTATTTTACTTAAGTCATATGACTAAAGGACCATTTTTTCAAACTGCTAACACCTGCAGTGAGATCAATTGTTACAAAGAGATCATCTTTCAAGGGGCAAGGGTTGAAAACGGAATGAATCAAGCTCTGCCTTGAGTGAAGGATGCGTCGAGAGCTTATGGGTAAGCATTAAGGGGCAGACTAAGATATGTGGCACAGTTGTGCGTTTTTACTTCAGCCTGCCTGATCAGGAAGAAGTTGTTGGGCCTTCTACAGACAGTTGGAAGTAGCCTCACATGCACAGGCCCTTGTTCTCATGGGGGACTTAAACTATGCTATCTGCTGGAAGGACAACATAGCTAGGCACACTGAAGTACTGTGTCCAGTTCTGGCTTCTCCAGTTCAAGAAAGGTGAGGAACTACTGGAGATGGTCCAACAGAGGGCTATGAAGACGATTAGGGGACCAGAGCATCTCTTTTAAGAGGAAAGGCTCAGAAGGCTGGGCCTGTTTAGCCTGGAGAAGAGATGACTCAGAAGGGATCTTAACAATGCATACATATGTGTTAAGGGTGTGTGTCGTTATGGCTGGGGCGAGATTTTCTGTAGTGCAAAACAACAGGATAAGGGCCAATGGGCACAAACTGAAACACAGGAAGTTCTATCTGAATATGAGGAATAACTTCGTTACTTTGAGGGTGACAGAGCACTGGAGCAAGCTGCCAGGCAGGAAGTGGAGTCTCCTTCTCTAGACATACTCAAAACCTTTTTTGAAGTCTTATTCAAAACACCAACTCTATGTGCGCAGGCTACCTATTTATACAGACTGTTAAAGTGACAGCTATTACTTTGATGATAAAAGACCTCTCAGCATTACCAAAGTAGCTCACACCTTCCTTCTCAAGAAACAAAGAGAATAATACAATGTCCTATTTGTCCTTCCCGATACTTCTTTGCCATAACCAGATAATGCTAGTTTGCAGTTCCTGAAAGTTACTAAAGCCCTGATCTGTCTCAGCAAGTTCTTCTTTACAGAGACTCACAGAAGTGTTCTAGTATTACTGAATGCACCGACAGCTAGAATACTGTTAATAGTACTAGTTCTTATTTTTAAACAGCAGCCTCAGCATTTCTTAAGGATGACTGGTTCCTTTGCCATAACTGCACTCATGGTCTACCACCACTGCATGATTTTGATGACTCTAAATACCTGATCTTCTCAGAATGTTGTATTGCTTTTCTACCCTGCAGTTCAGTATCCAGAAAATATTTTCATCTTTTATTCCATCAGCATTCTGGTTTTCAGAAATTGAACAAAACAAAACTGCTTTAATATTAGCTAAAAAGGATAAACATGCTTTGGAGAAAACAACAGTTCTCAAGAATTCATTTTACTCTTAGCTACTTTGCAACTTCAGACAGTAAAAGTAGATTTTGGAATGCATATGGGATTGGTTTCTGGTGCTCTTTTTCATAACCCTTTTTTTTCCATATTAAAATATGGTTATTATTCAAGATGTTAACCACTTCAGTAAGCACTGTCATACTGGTTTGTTCAGTGGCAGGGCTGCTTAGATTCGTTTAGGCATGTAGGTGTCTAGTTTCTTGCTGATTTGAGTAGCCCTACTGATGTGGACCTAAATAACATGGATGTTAAGAGCAGAGAACTACAATAAATATTAAGGGACTTTGCTCCTCTTTTACTTTCTGTATGTCCAGTAACATCAATATAAAGTTAGGTATTTGGATAGAAATGGAATACTCACTTTTGGCTTTTTTTCCTGTGGATCCAGTCAGTCACTTTTTCAGCCTAGACTTGATTTTCAGGCAAATTGAAGATTATAATTTTCAATAAAATGAGTTACCTGAGATAACTGAGGTGCAGAGGTGCAATATTTCACTTTCTTCATGGAGCTTGGTCACAAACACCCGCTCACCCCACAGTGTCCTGGGACAAGCAAAAGCAAGTGGCAAGGGAGTGATTGATGTATGTGAGCTGGTTCATCTCACACAACATGACGTAGTTCATGTGTCCATACCTGACATTTCACTGAATCTCAGGAAAGGTTTATTGCTGTGAACAGAAGATCCTTCTTTTGGCTCCAGCCCACTTGCAGATATTGCAGACAGGCCATAGCTTACCAACTGAGCTGGTTTGATTGGGCCACCATGCTCAACTGCTCAAAGGCTCAACTGTTCAAAGGCTCAACTGCTGCCTGGTCAGCAAGCCTGGCCCCAGAGGTACCACCAGGGCATCCCTCCGAGAGCAGCCAGCATGCCTGGAGGCACGTTATACATCCTTCAAGTTTCCTGAATTTCTCAACATAAATAATAATAACAGAACATGATCCTCAGTATTTACCTTGGCTCTAAAAGCCAAGCTCTTAATTTACAACTGTGATTTTCTGCAATAAAATAATAGATGCTGAAAATACTTCTGTGCTTGGCAGGTGGAAAAAACAAGCTGAGGAGATGTTATGGGCTGATACTTTGTAGCTGCAAAGCCATTTCTATATTATCAGATGTAAACTAATTTCTACTGTCTGTCTTAACGTCCTGCCATTTATGCTGTTTTTTTATTCTTTGCACTACTTTTAAGCAAGGCAATGACAGTGAAGCTTATTTTCTTAATGCCACATTTTTTGTCTCAAACACTGTGAGAAGATGATATATTTTAAAACTAAAGCAATAATTCTTATCATAATAATTATAACAAATTCTGGCTACAAAACCTTGGCTTTATAGAAGCTATGTGTGAGCAGTGCCAATTACAGCTAAAAAAATAACTTTACATTTGCAAGACTTAACCTTGAATAATTCAATTAGATGAAAAAATACATATGTTGTCCTAAATATATTAAGCAATCTACAGGAAATCTTGTACATTGCCAAACCTGCCATGTAAATTGTCAGAAACTATAAAAGATTCACATATTTATGTAAGTTTCCTAAGACAGCAAAGTTTGAAGGGATTCCTTCCTGTACCTCCTCCTCTTAGATGATTTAATCCTTAGTGTGGAGCCATGAACAAATAATCTCTGTCCCTTGCCTTTCAAGCTGCGTAAATCGATTTAGGAACTGTCAGTTGGATATGTCAGCTGGCCTCACCTGGGCTGCGATGCTTTACTGATGCTTTACTGGCATCAGTAAAGATCTATCAGCCCTTCAGAAGGACGAATCTTAAGTTCTCTCTTTCATGCAGAAATCGCAGTATCAACTGTGATACAGTTATGTATTTGTAGCATATAATCTGGCTGTGGGCCACTGTCCTTCCTGAGACTAGCTACAGGGTTAAAATTAAGATTATGGGAAGTATTTTGCAAGGATGCAGAATACAGATTTCTGTAGTACAAGCAGAAAATCATGCTTGCATGAGAAACTCTCACATGGCTGGGCAAAGTAGACCTGCTTGCCTTGCTCTCATGTGATGTGTACTGCAGTTTAGCTTGTGTTTCAGTAGGGATCTGGAAGTCAATGCTGCTATTTGTTTTCTGAAAGGAAAAAAATAAAATCCCTTTTTGCTTTTCCTCTTTTTAAGATAGATAAAAAATACTTGTAGTCAAATGCTTATATAGACATGTATGGGGTGTGGGGGAAGGGAGAAGGTATCTCTTGGTTCCAAATCTTTGAAATCATTTGCCTTAATCTGTAAGCATTAAGAAAAGCTTTGTCTGTTGGAGCAACACTTCAGTCTAGAAATCTTACTTAAACTTTATCTTTGTTTTGCAGGAGTACCTGAAAAGAAGGAAGAAAAAGCAACAAAGGCAGCAGAGCAAGGTAAAAAGAAAACAAATCGGTTTGCCATTATCTCTCTTAAAAAACAATGGCCCAGAAACAAACGCCTCAGATTCAGATAGCTATATGACAACAGCCTTTAAATCCACTGCTCTGCAAAGTATTAGTCAGGGCTCTGCTGTATTTATCAAACAGGGAATTTCCACTGGGAAGCTGACTTTGTCCCACTTCCACAAAAATGTAACTCCCTCAAAAAGGTTGAATAGGCTGCCCATTTCCACTTAAATATCCTATGCTGGGACTTCGTGACACACAGATCTTGCAAGAGGCTTTCTGCCCCTGTAGCTTGGGCACGGATCAGCCTTTAATATTCAGTCTTCAGAGTGACTTGCAATGAGCTAAAGGGGCAGAGGACCCCTAAAGTCAACTCAGCTTAACCCTAATGGAACATTAGCCCCATGAAGGGTCATGAAGATCCACTGCAGAAAAACTCAAAAGCTTTCAAAAGCAGAACTTGTAGACGTTTTTAGCAAAAAGCATAAGATTGGTATGAATGAGGCAGGAATGGGAATGTTTGGGAGTCCGATCAGCAGAATGCAAGAACCGCATGTTGACGACACATAGTTCAGAAGGTCACAAAGTCTACATAGTTTCCAAAGCCAACCAGAGCAGGATCACCAAGGGCTGGTCTACACCCAGGCTAAAACAAAGCTTGAGCCACTGTGTGATGGTGGTGAATAGAAAAGGAGACTTAAAGCATCTAGATAGCCTTGTAGCACTTAGATGTGTGTTTTCCCATGATATAAATTACATCTATTATTATTGTTGTTACTTTCAGCTTTTCCTGCATTCTTGCTTCTTGTACACTTGTTAAAAGCAGCCCATACTTTTTTTTAGGTTAGTATGGTAAGGAGCAAAGTAGAAAATATTGGCAGAAATACCCAAAGCTTATCAGCCTTGGCTTCCTTTATAACAATACACATCTTAATCTACTGTGCTTGTTACTAACTGTCTACCAAGGTGATTTTCATATTTACTCGTGCTCGAATTTGCAATTAAAGCTCTGATGATGAATTTGGCGTTTCAGTCTTAGCATACTGGAGTTTTTCCAAACTTGCCAATAACCTTCAAAGTGAACTATAGCACATACTTAGTAATGTAGTTTTGGTCAGTTCAGCTATGTCGTGGTTTAAACCCAGTCAGGTAACTTGTTCACTCACTCCCAGTGAGTGGTGCCGAGCTGACAATAATCGAGGTCCGTCCCCACCCCCCCCCCAGGGGTTCTCCCCTTCCCCACTCCCGGAGGAACAGGGAGGAGGATGGAAAAAGTGCAACTCCCATGGGTTGAGACAAGAACAGTCCAACAACCAATGTACAACACAAATCACCACCGCTACTATCAACTACAACAATGATAAGGGAAAATAACAAGGGAAGAGAATACGATACCACCGGCCAAGAAAACGAGTTCCACCCGGAAGCCCGTGTCCTTCCGGGTAACTCCCAGTTACCCCCCACCCCGGGCATGACGTGCTGTGGTATGGAATACCTCCCTGGCTAGCCCGGGTCAGGCTCCCTGTCTCTGCTTCCTCACAGCTTCCCCTCCTCCCTGGCAGAGCATGAGCCTCACAAAGTCCTTGGTCAGGGTAAACATCACTTAGCAGCAACTGGAAACATCGACTTCACCAACACTGTTCTCAGGCTAGAAGTCAAAACACAGCACTGCACCAGCTAACACAAAGGAAAAAAAAGCATGACTGCTACTGCTGAACCCAGGACAAGCTATTATCTCTTTCTTCAGTTTCCCAGCTTCAGCTTTACTCAGCATTACTTAAACCAGCACAGACACCCTGCAGAAGCTGTCAGCTGCTTGTTAGTTGTGATGGAAAAGGTTATAATTAGGTGGGTCTTAGTCCAGATTTCAGTTATTGTTAGTCTGGGTATCTCCACACTATTTTCCATTGACATAAAAGTGCTTTCGCAGCCACCTGCACTGCTTCCCTTCTGTTTGGCTACCTCATGCAGCAGTGAGGTTGTGTTTGCTGTAAGATTTGTTCCTTCTACAATGTGCCAACATTAGATGGGACTTTATTTGTAATATATTTCAACTGTGCCATAAAGTACACAGGCTCTCTTAAAAAGAGAGCAGTACAAACCATAGTTTCACACGGTTGGCATTGAGCAGGGATTTCTAAGCCCTTGGTTGTGATACCCACAGGACTCAAAAAGGGGACAGCAGTCAGCAGCAGCAGCACTATCTCCCCATAATAGCAGCCATCTAGTTTCTTCAAGACAAAGGAAAAAGAGCAATCTATTACAACTACTTCTGCAGCTACTTCCAAGTGCTGGCAGTAGCTCAGTTCCTCTGCTGCACAGAAGCAAACATAAATACTTTCAGACAGCAATTGCCTCTGCTTCTCATATCTGCACAACAGATTGCCAACATGTTGATCACTCAAAGACATATGAGCCAAAAAAACTTTCAGAAAGTTGTTGTTTTTTTTTAATATTAGCATGTACCTGTATTTCTCATGGAAGAGTAAAATATAAGGTGATGGAAGCAGCTCCGAGTTATATTTTGAGTGAAAACTGTACCTAATTCACTGATTCCAGGTATCAGAAAGTTCTGAAGAAAAGTGAGGACTCTTTGTTAATCAGGGATGTATGAATTCATCAGAAAATAGTTTTTGAACTTAAAGCTATTTTTGAGCCTTTTAGATTGAGAAATTAAATAATTTGTTCTGATAGCTACAGTCCATTAGGATACATCTCAAAAGTAGAGGGATTCAGAGCTGGTCAGAACTAGGATTTGCAATTTAAGAAAAACACTAAATGCATGGATATTTGCAAGAAAACGTAAAGTTCATGAGTCTGTCTAGCAACTGGGGTGTAGCTTCATTGTTTCAAACTGGAAGGTTTTAGTGATCAAACATGCTATTGCAGTTTTGACCTCAGATCCCTGTGGTCTGGAAATGGACTAAATATCGCTACACCATTTCAGTTCACTGATCTTTTATTAGTAGTAAATCAAAGTTACATGTAACATTTTTAACAGTGAAAAGGAAAGCAAGAAGGTGGAGAACTGCCATAAGTGTCTAGGAAAACACAGTGCTTTAATTCTTTGTCCTATTTGAAAAATGGCACGAGCAACTGTCAGACGGTTGCCAGGGAGACACTGCCTGTTATTAAGGCAACTGAGAATTAATATTTAAATGAAATGAGGAAAAGGCAAAGATTTTTTTATGAGATATCCAAGATTACCAAGAAAGGAATTAACTGCCATCAGTTAAAGCAGGTCACGTGAGATTGGTTTTTTTTTTTTCCTTTCTTTGCATGTCTACAAGGTACTAGGTCTGAACAATGAATTTTTTTCACATTGTCAAGCAACAATAGAATGGAAATCACTTTCAGGGTATGTTTAAGCATTTTTGGACAACATATATTTAAATACATTTTCATTAGCTGACTGTATTAAATATAATTTTCTATGTGAATATGTATTCTAATATTTCCTTTTTCTTTTCTCTTTTCATTTCTCCTTCCCCTCTTTTCTCTGTCCTCAGATAAACAAAAGACGAAGCAAGGAAGTAAGCTGTCATTTTACATAATGCTTCTCCCTATAATTGATAAAGCAATATCAAATCTATAAATGAAAAGAAAAAGGTATAGGAGCTCCTGCTGCTAGTCAGAACTGTAAATTTTTTTTTTTTAGACAGAGTAGAACTGATACAACATATCTGATAATAATAAATAATAATAATAATAATAATGGATATGTTAAGAAATTCTAGTCTGTTTATGCCAAAGAAGTTTAACACCAATACTGTACATTCTTCCTTGACAAAAGGAAGAGATGTGTAATGCCAGCACACAAAAAACCCACCAAAAAACCCTCAGAACAACCAATGAACCAAAAAAAAAAGAAACAACAAATAAACCCCAACCATTTAAAAAGTTTACCTTTATTATTTTACACACAAAATTATTCTCTCCACACCTGCTAGGTTCACTGCAGATCTCAGTTATGTATTCTGATGTCAGTAAAAGCTTAACACTGCAAATCAAGTATGAGGAAGTAACACAAGGTTCTTGTCATGGGATTTGAGCTACATGTTGTCATTTTGCCAGGTTATGGCAGACTGTCTAAGAGACCTCAGTAAGTTCAGTCCTACAGAATATTGCCAGTGTGTATTTACAATTCAATTTGCCATTTTCATATTATTCATGAATATTTTTTAAAATTCTTTAGCAGTATGTATATTACATGCCATGCCATCCCAAAAGACTTTTTTTTTTTTTTTTCTCCTGGAGATAACAAATATCTCTGAAAAACCTTTCCTAAGGTTTCTTTGTTTGGGGATCATATGGAACTTCAAGCTTCATCAGTAACAACTTAATGTTTCAGTCAGAACTGTTTAATGCTCTTTTGTTTAAAATGCATCACTGTGGTAACATCTTCTGCAACAGTTTGGGTAACAATTTTCTTAATATGGAGGTGCACAACAACTTACAGTTGTTGCAGGCAGGCTCTTGAAAATAAAGAATTTATAATGTGCATTAAATTATCTATTCTGGTAAAGGCATAATGGTGTAGGTTTTAGTGGTGTTACTTGTATTTTGTATTAATCACAAAATCATTACTTGAATCATGAATCACCAAAAAAAAAAGAAAAAGAAAAAGAAAAAGAAGACAACAAAGAAAAAAGAAAGGTTGTGTCTTCCACGCTGTACCAGTTTTTATAGACACCATTGCACCAACCATGGAATCTCTCTTGGCAATTTTTTATAACACATGAGCACAGGACAAGTTTTTCAGTCTTCTCACTGAGTTTTATTTCTGTTAGCATAGATTTCTGTCATTAACTTAGTATTTAAAAATTGGTGTTGACTTTTTATTAGGACTATTAGAGATCAGCTCTACATTAGTTCCACTGTATGTGCTTCATAAACATCCACAGTGTTTTTTGTTTTCTGACTTTGAAAATTAGTGACTGAATCATAATCCAGTGAGTACAAAACCTGGAGGCAGAAGAAGGAGAGAAGGGGTAGCTTCTGAACAACAGATGTCTAGGATGTAGTGAGGCTGGAAAGAGACACTTTATTACAATAAAATTACACTTTTGACCTTGTCCAACAAATACCTTTTCCAAGTCTTCTCCTTTAAAAATTTAATTGCCTGGAAGTATTGCCTTTTTATAAGCACAAAGTAGAAGGAGAAAAATAGTGAAACATTTATCCTTTGATGTGAGCTCCAACAGAAAAAGAGTTTCAAAGTCAACAGTACATTAATTTTTTTCTACTTGCTGGTTACTTCTACCATAAATAAGATTTTATTATTTCTGGATTCCTTCAATTCAGATTCCCTATTAGCTCAGTTTGTCTTACATATAGCCAAATAGTGCAGCATGAACAATAAGACTGATTGATACCATAATGAACTACTAGACACTTTCCATGCTTTTGTAACAAAAACAACTTCTGAATTGTGTGTGCTTAAGACAGTAAAAAATCATCACTGCAGCTACTCACCGTAGCTACTACAAGTTTCATATCTGTCTGCTAAACACAGCCTCCTCCTCATTAAGTCTTGATCTTTCATCCTATGTGTAGCAACCTGGAGTCTTCTAACAGGGTTCTCTAAGACCTGGCACTGAATTCCTGCTGAGTTTCTCAACAGAAAGATTGTTTTTTCTTCATATCTGATGGAGAACATTATATTATTCTCTTTTTTTTTCCCCCAGAAAATACCTGTTAATTAGTATTTCTCAGAATTACATGTATATAACAGTATTAGTTGGGTTTACATGTATCTATACATATAACCAACTACATATAGTTGGTTATATATATAACATATATATATACACATATGTGTAATCAGCAGTCAGATGGTTAAAACACTCAACATGCAAAAAATTCAAAATCCAAGTCTCTGGTCCTTCTGAATAGCCTGTTCTGGGACAGTCTCGACTGTCTTTTTCATTTGGGTTGCAAAAGCTTTGAAGACCTTGGTTTCATCAGCCCAGAAAGGTGATCTCACATACTGTCTCAAACATAATTCTTGGTTTTCTGTCTGGTTCGAATTATTTCTTATACCTTTTACAGGGGACTGCCCTTCCTCAGACAGTATCCATCAAGGATGGTGTGTCCTAGCCGTCTTCACTACTTTTCTGCAGGCAGAATAAAAAGAGCTGTTTGTCCTCCTATTTGTCACTATTGTGTCGCTCTCTAGATTTGATATACATCTGACCCTTAGAAAGAATACTTGCAACAAGAGACCCTTGGACTTGCTCAGCAAGAATGGCCAATCCCAGATGAGGACAGTAGACCACAGACAGCATTTATGGGTCAAAGTTGGCCAAAGGTCATTTTGTCCTTTCTGGTTAAGAAAGACAAAAAACTATCCTGATACCATAGTAAGTTGAAGCTTGCAAATTTTAAAGGTTTCATAATCAAATCAATAAAAAACATTTTGTGGATTGAACCCTCTGAATGGGAACAGGTGAATTCTGTACAACTATTCCAATCACTACATTTTTCACTATTTCTTCTAATGTAATCATAGTCACCCATATGATCTAGATGCTTCATTCTCTGATATGATTAAATCTCGTACTTTCACTCAGTGATGGCTTCTGATTGTCACTTTATCAGTGTGAATACATTTTTTGCAGATCCTGGAAAAGAGAAAGAATCCAAATCTCCAGCTGCTACAAAAAATAAAGGTAACATGTCAGGAAAATATTATATAAAACCCTAAGATCTATGCGCATCAAGAAAAAAATCTTGCAATGCATTGGACATTTTGTTTTTATGGTATAGTTTAGTTAGGAATTTATCTACATAATACTATTTAAGTTTATGATAAAACTTAATTTGCATTACCAGGATCAGAAGTGAAATAGAGCCTTGGTAATATGAAACATCTGTATGAAAACTTAGAATTCTAAACTCAGAACTTAGGGAAGCTTTGTTAATGTTTGGTATTGAAAGCTGCAAAGTGAAATAAGCTTTTAGTAATCTTTGTTCTTTCATCACACTTAAGAAAATTTTGTAGCTTCTCCTTGTGTGCATGCTAAAGCTGATGAAACAGTTTTGTGCTACATTTAATTGGTAATCATGGTTCTGTTAGACACCAACAATTATTCAATCAATCATTATCCCAGAGGTATTAGATGATAACCTTTTATCATTCTAACTTGAATAATAATAAAATTATTTTACAGAACATGCTAAAGAAAAGGAAGGAAAGAATCCTACAGCTTTAAAAGATAAAGGTAAGAATAAATAATAAAATATAAAATTTACTGGAAAACCACACAAGGTAGAATTAAAATCATAATTTTAAAATAAACATTATAAATCTTTCCCATTATAAATCTTAACCAATCAACATTTAATGGGTTAAAACATATTGCAGGATTTATGGCATGGAAAAAGGGAGGGGGAAAAGGTCATAAATAGAATATAGTGAGATGATACGCATTCAGAAGTCTCAAAATGAATTGAATAAATATCACAAAACCACTCTGAGTAATAGTTAAGAACTTTCTTAAGAAATTGCTTCCCTAAAGAATCAGTGTTTAATAGGAGCCAGTAAACAAAGTCAAAATCTGCAATATTGTGTCCAGTTCTGGGCCCCTCAGTTCAAGAAGAACAGGGAGCTGCTGGAGAGAGTCCAGCGCAGGGCAACAAAGATGATTAAGGGAGTGGAGCATCTCCCTTATGAGGAAAGACTGAGGGAGCTGGGTCTCTATAGTTTGGAGAAGAGGAGACTGAGGGGTGACCTTATAAGTGTCTATAAATATATAAAGGGGGAGTGTCACGAGGATGGAGCCAGGCTCTACTCAGTGGCAAACAATGATAGGACAAGGGGTAATGGGTACAAACTGGAACACAAGAGGTTCCACTTAAACATGAGAAGAAACTTCTTCTCAGTGAGGGTGACGGAACACTGGAACAGGCTGCCCAGGGAGGTTGTGGAGTCTCCTTCCCTGGAGACATTCAAAACCCGCCTGGACACATTCCTGTGTAACATCATCTAGGTGTTCCTGCTCCGGCAGGGGGATTGGACTAGATGATCTTTCGAGGTCCTTTCCAATCTCTAGCATACTGTGATACTGTGAAAACCGAATGCTTGCATAAATCTGTGGATGTAGTAGCAATAAAGTAAAGTTTATGAGGATATGAGTGGATAATGTACTTTCTGGAGTCTGTAAAAGCTACAGTTAAAAACCCCAGCTTCATCCAGACCCCCATCTAGAACATGATAGTTGGTCTGAATCTTTCTTTTATTCCATACTTTTTAACAGTTCCAATATCTTTTTAAATTTGGTCAGGGTAAATGGTTAACTGAGATGAATTTCCTTTCACCCATTATTTTGCTGAGTGTTTTTTAACCTTTCCAGAGATAGCTATATTTTAAAAGAGATGTGATTTATAGATAAACCTTATTTGACATGTTCTTTAGTTTCTTCAGGATAAAAAAAAAATCAATGTTACAGACAGACATTAATATTCACTCTAAATGACAGTCATTATAACCTATTTCAAATAAAGAACTGAATGAAGAGCTTAGCTCAAGTGCTATGGAAAAATGAAAAGAAAAACAAAACCCAACCAAACGCCTAAAACAAAAGAAGGAATAATTTTATTGCTAGACATATTTTCAAAATCCCAGAAGCTGTGTTCATTCACTCTTGTTTAGTTAGACAATCACTAATTAATCACTTCTTCATTAAAAAAAAAAAAAATTAATTATAATAATCTGCTAATCCTGTGGTTCATGTATTGTTCTGTGCATATCTACTATTAATGTACAGATGTTCCATTTACAGTTATCTGGACCAGAAATGTATATCCAAACTCTCCTAGGGTCGAATGGCCCTCTCCATGGACTGCTTGAATAATCTGTTGTTACCTGACGGGGCTGTGCCAAAAAATTGAAAGAAGCACTTGAGTGACAGCTCTGCCCTGTCCTCCTCTTCATGGAGTGGGTATGCTAAGCCTGCTGCTCCTTTCAGAGGACTGCAGGGAAGAAGGGGGAGAAAAAGAGGGAGAGAGGAAATTCAAACACTTTTCATCTTTGACAAGAGTTTCTTTTGAACTGATCGAACGGGATTTTCCAGCCCTGAACAAAGCTTCTGTAGCATGTCCTTTAGAGTGCCTCCAAAAGCGCTGCTTTTCATTTCCTGGTCTCATGCTCAATAGGTCAGTGACTTCAATCACTAAGTTATTAACAGGTCCTTCTAATATGGCAGAGTACGTTAGACCATTTCCACCCAGACGCCAGAAAGGGGCAGGCAAGAATTTATTCTAAATATCAAGTGCAGACCATGCTGTATCAGATTTCTTACATTTTAGGAAAACAAGGCAAAAATATCTGTAAAAAATTCCAATGTACTATTCAAAGTTTTACCAAACAGAGCTTCAGGCCACTTTCTTTACCTGCTGAATACAGTCATGTATGCCTAACGCATTACTGCCGCTAACAGCGACATCTCAATCTACTGTTTGATGCCGAATACAGTTGTAAACGCACCACAGGCTTCTGAACCCCTTCAGCACCATTGATGTCCACCCCCCTCAGATCTTGTGAGCACCTGCCACATTGTTTCCTCTAATAGGGGTCAAACTTTCAAAGTCCAGTGCCTGTGTCTAAAAATGCAGGTGCTGATTAGTGAATGGGGTAGCTCAGTTCAAAATATACTGTCAGCAAAGACTCTACAGGAAGAACTGGCAAAGCTGTGTGGGAGAAACCCATAGAAATCTTAGTGGCTGCATTCTGGATCACCCTGCTAAATAAACATATATTTAGCACTATAAATCCCCCAATTCATAACCATATTTACCCAAACTGTAGCTCATAAATTAGTCAAAGCCATACTTGCATGCCACTCTTTCCCTTCTCCATCATCTCTTAGAGCCTCTTCAGTGGGCCTCTGGAAAGGTGGACCAGATTACTGGGGCCTTCTTTTCACTCTTCGCAACTTGATGTCTTAAGATTTGTTTCTTAAAGTGGAAGTTTCTAGCAAATAAAAATATATTTTTGTGTGTAATAGAGGAAATTAAGGGTTTTCAGGACTGCATATGTGTGCTAATTATGTATCTTGGTAGTTTGTTGTAATTCATGTAAGACCAAATAAGCATTTTTAGACAAGGTGTTAAATTGTTTTTATCATTAATGTTTGCCTTGCACCTTATGCAATAAAACAGGCATCATTATACCCCATTCTATTTGAAGGATGGGCTAAGTTTGGATGAATGAGGATGATGTCCAGACAAAAAACCTTATCATAAAGAAGGCTATTTTTCATAAACCAGTGCATAGTATTTTCATTTAAAGCAGTGGCAGGAAAAATAGATCCCTGAATTTGGAGTTATCACTGGGATACTCTGTAGCTTGCAACCTGAGAATGTTATCTTATGTATTTTATGAGGTGAATAAGATGTCTTCAGTCTTTGAATCTAATTTTATTTGCAGCAATTAAAGAGGAGAGTGGAAGAATATACTTTCCATTGTCTTGTGAGAAAGGGCATCTCAAGACTCCTTCAAAATTCATAATTAGCTTTTCAACTTTTTCCTGAAATAAAGAGTAAAGAAGCTCAATAACTGCATTCATTGCAATAATGAATATAAAAGGGAGGGGGGTAGGGGGGTGGGGTTTGTGTTTGTTGACATAAGCATATTCAAATAATGTGAGGCCACTGAAAAGCTAAGGTATAATTTGCCATGTGATTTTTGGTAGATAGCTAATCAGAGTAGCAGCTCATTTATCCAGTCTCCAACAGTAGCACTAAAAGCTTATGATATTTTATGTATAACTCCTCACTGAGTTTTTCTAAGAAATTTGCTGGAATTGCACTATGTTGAGTTATTAAAGTGACAGCATTTGTGCTGTATAGATAATGTAAATTCACTCTTACATTGTGTTCCATGATTTGTTTTCCAAACAAATGGTCCTTTTCCCCCTCTTATTTGGTTTTGCCATGTTTTGGGATATCTTTGCATCTTTTCTCATGTCAGTTATGTGTGGATAATAAGCCCATTTATTTTTGTGCACAGATTGGTAGGGTAAGTAAGTCCAGTAGTGTGTATTTCTTTCTTGCCATATACATAATAGCACATTGTCATTAAAGAAACAAATGGGCTGATTTGCACTTGCTATGCCATGCTTGTCTTTCCTTTAAGATAAAAGTAAAATGAAATAACATATTGCCTGTAGCATTTTTTATCTTAACTTATGACACACTTTTTTCTTTAATAGTAGAGTTACATTGTGAGACTCATCTGCAGAAAAGCACTGACTCTTCAATTAATATTTCCTCCAATTTCTACCTACTTATTTCTTGTCATTTGCCTAAGAACTAGATTTTTACCCTGAAAAGTTCACATACTATTGCTGCTGTATCTTTCTATACCATCTTCTTAACCTGACCCAGTTTCATCCTTGGAGTAGGATGCTGGAGGAAAACAGCAAGTTGAAGGTTGGCTTTAAGCCAGCTGTATGTTTTTCCTCCTCTGGGACCAGCAGTAAAGTGGGCAGTCGAGAGCAAAAGTTTAAAGTCTTCAGCGAGTCCCTGTTCAAACTCCTGAAGATGAAAATGTGCTCTCTGGAGAGCAGGACTGGTGATCTCAGTAGCCTTGGCTCAGAGGGTGGGGAAGTCCTACAGTGACAGCTACCTCCACCAGTTGTAAGAGCCAAAAGTGCTGAACCTGCTTTAGGTGCTACAGATTGTAGGAAATATCAGGTAGGCTCCTTCAAAGGGTTTCAGTCTTCATACAGGAAGTGAATTTTCAATCCCCTGAAGGAGTCTACCTGCTCCTGTGAAGACCAGGCTCCTAATTTAAGTACCTATCCCTGAACATCTGATTTTTCCTACAAATTCAGCCATCTTAGAAGTGAACTTTTTCTGTTACAACTCACACTTAAAGCCAGATGGGTATGTGGGATCACATCCTGCTACCATGGCAGCCAGGAGGATGATCAGAGTTAAATTTATTTTGGAAAGGATCTTTCAGCTTTATCTGTTTTACTGAAGATTTGGTGAACTTTCATTTGGAATAAATGGCATGTTTTTTTCTAGATGCTTAGGTGCTATATCCTGTCAGATGGAGTGCAATGGTCTACTCAGCATCTACACAGCACCCTTCAACCTGTGATATACTCTCACTCAAACCACATATATTCATAAGCCTATGAAATTACTTCCTCACTTTGGAAAACTGTATTTCCTCCTAATATTCCCTGCTGCATACACTTAAGAGGTCAGAAGGCTATTACATAATTAAAAAAAATAATTAGTTGTTTATGTAATATAATGTATGTTTTCCCTGTGCTTGCTGGTCCTGAATACATGGTCCCTGAAGGACTAAAGTTAAAATTTAGGCTTCAGACCACCACAGAAAACATGATAATCCCTTCTGTCTTCATGAAGTTTTAGATAAAACCCTAAGAATTCGTAATCCTCTGTCATGACTTGCATTTTCCCCTTCTCCTTTCCAATTTCTCCTTCCTGTGAAAACTCTACAAACAGTGATCTACAGTAACTTCTACTCTTGCATTTTCTACTAACATTATTGCACCTTAAAATGTATTAGGTGTTCACTTATGTTCAGAATTTTAGTTTTAATTTTTAAATATTTGTCTTTTTTTTTTTAATTGTGAAGGGGCAGTCCTGTCTTCTAAGTCTCAAAAACTTTATTATCTCCCTACAGACTATTTGAAAGGAAAAAATCCCAAGAATCCAGAGGGATCAAAGGAAAAAGGTAAGTGAAGAAGTTAAGAAATTCAGAAGTTAATCATATCAGAACAGCTATTCAGTGCTCGAAGGAGGTCTTGAGTAGGAGTATACAAGGATAGAGAATCAAACCCATCCTGGTTCATGTTTAGATTATTTTATCCATTGTATTGTTTTTAACGACATTTGTACTCTACAGATTCACATTAGGATTCCTAGTAACTACCTGGGCTTCTTTTACATGCAGAGATTTGAATTTGCATCCTGGGGGAAATACTAAAATCTATTTTTGAATGTTACTCAAAAATGTTCATCTTTGAATGTTAATCTGTCAAAAGTGAATTGTCTAAAAAACTCATAGTGGGGACATTCCCACTATGGAGTAGGCTAAACTTGGACATGTGGCTATGTCTCAAGAATACAGTTGACAGAGAATGAGACAGGCTGAGGTTACCGACAGATCCAGGTGCTTGAGCGTGACTGATATGTCAGGGTTTTTTCCCAATTTGATGGCTGCACGGACATATATGTCTCTAATCGTTTCAGTTACAGAAGGCTGGCCTACAAGCTGTGCATGCAGAGGTCATGGATTATTTGGTAGTGTGTATTTGGAGGAAACCTTACTTGTTGCAATGTGACATGCGTTGAACAGTCTTTCTGGAGAGTACTGGGACAGCTCAAAAATTTAAGGGACGCAGCAAAGGCTAACAGAACTGCTTATGGTTCCTGAACTATAAAGGCACATCTGAGGTCCAAATTGTGACAGTCTCATTTTTTTGGAAGCTGGATATACTCCATAAAGTCCAGATTATGGCTGGTATAGTGCAGAGTATTGAATAGACATGAAGCAGAATTTGATGCACTTCTGGGAGGAATGTATTAGTCCTTGTGAAAACTCTGGGGAATGAAACCGGGGTGCCACTTGAGGCTCAGGATTCTTCTGTTTGTCACTGCTGTCAGTCCATGCATCTCACCTGGGCTCCATAACAATATTATAGTTTACTTTTATTTCTGCTTAGCCAACTTCTGGATTGTCTTTGGTCCTTGGATTCTGCCTTGTCAAGTAGAAGAAAGAAAGAACTAGAACATCAGTGTTTTTTTTCTCATCTCCTTTAATACTTTGTCATACAGCGCAGAAAAATTAGATACGATGATGTTCTCGAACTATTCGTTGTGACATAAAACATATGAATGTACATTCAAAGGATGAACACTGCTCTTATTTTACAACCAGCTTGCCTGTGATTTTAAAAGGCTATATATATGCAGGAAGTGAAATCCTGTTCACAGGCAATACCCATATGGTGTCTTTGATATCGAAAGAATAATGGAATCCTGAATGAGTAACTGGTCCTTTTGTCACTCCTGAATAAAAAAGTTCCCACTTCACTTTATCAGCAGCCTCTGGCTTTCAAAAATAGTGTTCCTAATATTTCAATTATATCAGTGTGGATTATTTTTTTCTTTGGGTTCAGCAAAAGAAAAATCTTTTGATGCCAACTGCTGTATAGAATTGCTTTCCTCTTTGTAAGTTATTATTCTTCATTTCCCACTTAAAAGACAGATTAATGATTTCCTCAAAATGTGAAGAAATTAATGACATATTGAAGAATTATTATTTTGCATATCCAAGTCTAAAAAGATGAATGAATGACCTTGTTGTTTTGCCCTGTTCTTTATTTCCGTGCTGTTAAATCCATTTAATTATCACATCCTTTTTGCTCTCTACATATCAAATTGTTTGACTTGTTTTCTTTTCAAGTGTCATCTTATTTCTCTAACCTGACTTGTGATAAATGTTAAATGTTTCTTTCCAGAGACTGGTAAAAGAAAAGATGTGAAGCCTCCAGCAGCATTAAAGGAAAAGGGTAATGTCTTATCATTATGTGGCTGGGAAATAACCAGTTGTCCTCATGAAAGGACCTGCTGGTGCAGTTTTGATATATTTTGAATTACAAGCTTTTGGTGAAAAGGAACTAAACCTAGCTTCTACTCACTTAATAAACCTGAAATATTGAAAGGAGCAGTGTCTGACATGAATCAGAAATACTAAAATCATAAGCCTTCCGTGGTGTTCTTTAAACACTCTGACCTGCACAACCAATATTACAGTGGGAATGCTAGTCTATTCTGAGTGAATTAGTAACAGAGCCGTTGCTGAATACACATGACAAGCTGAAATGATAGGCTGCACGGGAATGAATGCATAATTTGAATTGCAGAAACTTTGTCAGGTAATATAGTAGGAATTTTTTTGGTTTGCTTTCAAATCTTTAGCTGAGGTTCTTATTAAACAGAAATTCTAATTCTTAACACTTACCTGTTTTGCGTATTTGGTTGATCTGGTGTTATGCATGTTTCTTATATTGGGCACAGTGTATACTTATGCTACTTATTTTCTGCTTCCTTTTTTGTGTTGGATATCTCTTCCAGACTCTTCAAAAGGAAAAGAAATGAAGGCTTCAACTATGGCTAAAGAAAAAGGTAACAATTCCAAGTTGTGCTGAGCCTTATCATAAGATACAGTTGAGAAAATAAGTCCATTGTGCAAGTATTCCCAAATGAAATCCTAGTTTCTTCACTTAGCCATACATAAATATCATTGAATGGCATCCTTTTCTGCTGGACATTCTTTTTACCTGGCTGATAAATGAGAGATACATTTGGGGCTAAACAAGCAAGTTGTAACAATAGAACTTTATAGACCCCAAAGTTATGAGAACTTATTTTTTTAATCTTAATTTTTGAGTCATTTATTCTATTTAAAGTTGTCATGTCAGATTGAATTTTAATTTTCTTCTATAACACATTGTTTGATTGTGCTTTGGTGTTTCTTCATTAGAAGAAACATTAGCAGTAGCCATCAAATAAAAATCAATTACAATTTGTAATACCTGTCAAATACTAGGCATTTTTTAGGAAATGATAAAACTGTAATTATAATTACCCAACTACTTTCATGTTTATTTATTCATATCAACTAAATTCAAACAAAACTTAGTTTTACTTTGACACTATTTGCATATTGATTAAACAGCACTTGCTCAACAAAAAGCAGTCTCTCGGGTTGAATGTGTAAATAATTTAACATGAGTAAGAAAATGTAATAACTTGCTAACTAATAACAGTCAGCTGAGTCATGGGAATATAGTAGTCAATGTTAAAAACTTCAAGTCGGTTTAGAAAATACTTCAGACAATTATACCCCCTATCTTTAGATTTGCCCTAAGGATCACTGGAAATAATGAGGCAACATTTTCTCTGACAAAGTTCTGAAAGGTAATATTTGCAAATTTTTAAGTGCAGTTTTTTCAGTAGTGTATGGAGATAGTATACAGCAGAATAGGAGAAATCCGCTATTACTTTGCGCAGTTGTACCATTCTGAAGCAAAGAGAATGCTTTGTTAGTGTTACAAAAGTAAATAGGGCTTAAACAGCCTGAAACTCTTTGATGTAGTCAAAATAGATGAACCTGGGCTGCCAGCCCAAGATCACGGACATTAGAAAACTAGGGACCTATTACTGTACCATTTTTTTCAGTTTACTTTAGTCAACAGGGAGTACTGTGTTGTGTCTTCTCACAGTCTTATAGTTCCTGCTTTTCAAGACACAAAACCCAAGATCTGAATGTTTACTGCAGTATGCTGACTTTAACTCCACTGAAGTACAAGATTACATTAGAGACACCTGTGATTATTCTGATAAAGAATTAATGGCTTGGATGAAGTCTGAACTAGAACTGATGGAGTTTTATAGTAGCAGCAGGATATTTGGATAAGCAATGCCATAATTTAGAGGTGACTATGCTGAGTCTGCACAGCCTTTACCAGCTTCCCACATGAGATGCTCACTACTCTCTCCTCTTTTTCCTAGTGGCTGGCGCACAGCCTTGCATGTCTCCTGTGGATGTACTCGATGCCTTGCATAAGCTCACTGAGAGCAACTCATATCCCACAGCAGTGAAAGCATTTCTTTTTTACTCTAGCTGGCTCTATAAGAGCTTAGAATGTTTGGATTAGATGTTGTGAGACACACAATCAGGCCAACTGGCTTTTTTTAAGTCCTGTATATCTTAGATCTGTAAAGTAACTGTTCACAGCAGGACTGCAGATCTTTCAAGGCCCCTTGAGCAAGACTGCAACAGAAAAGTACAACTTGAGTGGGAAGGTCTCAGTTTGCATACATGGGTATAGTGACGCCACCTTAGGGTTTGCAAAAGGATTCCATCATTTTCTAGTCATAGATGTCCATGACACAGCAAGTGTTACACAAGCTCACTTTGAAGGCAGTTCAGCTTAGTGGCTGCAGGTTTTTAAAAATTGGTTTTGTCTTTTCTGTTCCATGTGACAGATGTTCATATGCCATTTCTTAGCTGATGGGATTCATAGAAATGCAGCACATCCAAAAGCAAATACAACTAACTCAGTGACACTGAATATGTATGACAAGACATTGACATTTTGTCAGAAGCGTGTAGTCCCAATGCATAAAGTGGCTTTAAGCATCCGTGTGGGATGCTGTGCTTCACTAAACTTCTTTTTTTTAACAATGTTAAGTGACATGGTGCATAGATCAGGCAGACAGTTTGAGAAAAGCCTCTGTAGGGAAAAGTGCTCCAGACATTTTGTGGCTGTTGCCCTGTAAAGAAGCGCAAGCAGGAGGTCACGTTTATAAGCACTGGTTCTACTTTTTTTTTAACCAACTGAGAGTACACAGGAAGCTTTTTTAGTGGGCAACTCAGTATGAACTATCCAACCAAAACACACCTTAAGAAACAGCAGTGATTTGATTAGGACATGCCATTTTACAGAGATCTGTCAAATCCATTGTAAATTGCATTTCTAGAAGTGGCCACTGTGTAACCCCTTTGTTAAGACAATATTTTTGAAATGTGAAAGTCAAATCCATACAAGCTGGATATAGAATTGCAATAGAAAATCTTAAATAATAGAGAGGCTAAATGTAAGGTAGATATAATAGGTGTATAAAAATTGCAGTATCAGCCTGTTCAAACAGTCTGTCCATTACAGAATATTATTGCTGAACACTGTCAATAAGAAATACTTCAAGAAAGCATCAGAGCTCTAAAAGTCAGACACTAAGATAATGACAGATACATAAATACCAAGACTGAGTCATAGTGGGAGTTATAAAATTCCTATTGTGAGTTAGCACTCCTTTGTGAAAAATCTTCAATAAACATTAGAAAACAAGATAAAAAGAACAAACATAACACATGTAATATGAATGAATACCATTCTATAAAAGATAAGATTTTCATTCCAGAAAGCAGTTTATATAAGTTAAAGATGAAGCATGTTTTACAGAAAACTATGAAGTGTAACTCTGTCCTTATGGTTTGATTTTTTATATATATTTTTTAAAGGAAAACGTTCAAGCTGAATAAGTAGCATCTGCATATATATGTGGAAATACACATTCAATAGTCAAAACAGGTTTGTAAATGAATGTCTGCTGACACTTAAGGTATTTCCTGGAGGTAGGGACTGTTACATGCTGGGACTCCCAGATCTCTATAACAGCAGTCTGAAAAGTCCTCTAAGTGCATATTTAGAACTTTTTATTTATATATGCTTACACAATAAATCAAAATTCTTGTTGCACAGTATTGTTTCACACAGTATTTTAGATCAGAAACCAGGATTCTCTCTGATTGAGACAATGTGCTTCTCCACAGCTGACATAGTCAGGCTCCCTCTGGTTAACTGCCAAATGCACTTTTCTTTACACAGATCTAGGGAAAAACTGTCCCTCTCAAAAAACATTTTGTACTTCGGGAACTCTCTCTGAAAAGTGAGATTGTCAGAGAGAGATTTGCACCCCCTGATGCAGCAGAGAGATCAGATCCCTGAGTGGCTCTACCCCACTCGCTGGCCTTTTGTGATATTTTCAGAGATTTGTGCCTGTCCTTGGGATTGTGCTTGGATTAATCCTCATACATTTTAGGTATCAAGGACTCAAACAGGGATGGGAGAAGTCAGTTTTCTGCCAGTAGTCAGTATGACTTAGTTGTTGACGATAGGCTGGACCTGACTCCACACAGAAAGGTGACTAGCTCAGTATCCACCCTCTTACCACCTCTATCCAGTGACTTCACAGGGGGCCTGATAAACCATGCAGTGTGAATCCTGATAATCTGAAGCAGAGCTTGCACACTTGTATTGCTTTAATTCTAGATAATGTGTTTGTGTATTCTCATTAAGGCATTGCTGGTAATGAAAACACTGTAAAATTTTTTTGGGGGTTATCTAATGAATTACTAGGTCTGGCAGCTATTTCTTACAAATTAGGATAAAAAGGATAGCTAGGTTGCTAATTTGACTGCAACATCTTCCTTGACCACTAATAATAAAATGCATCAAGATAATTGAATAAGAATTTATTTCTCCAAGCCTGCTCATTAAAACCTGGCCCAAAGGATGAAAGGGGTAAGAAAGGTGTTTCCTGCCAATGAATGGGAATAATTCTAAACACAGATGAGCCAACAAATTTAAAGGCTAATTTCTCTCTCTTGTTAAGTATACTGGTTCTTTTATCTGTGGCTTCTTGACATGATTAAAATTTTTCTTGACATGGATAGGAGAAATCCTAAACTCAGAAAGACTGGAACAGATATAAAATATTTGTTAGGAAGACCTGAGAAAGATGCAGCACTTTATACAGTTCTTAAATATTTTAAACCATTACCTACTTCTCAGGCTATGAACAGATGGACAATTTATGGTGAGATGGGCAAAGACAGTATCAACTTAGTGAATGCCAGCTGCTTTGCTCTAGCTCTCTACATGAGGTGGTTTTCACTTCAGCTTAGAAGTATGCATATATGTGAACAGTTATCACAGAGTACCTGAAGCAGTGAATGAGCCTGCATTTGACCTTGTTTGACTGCAACTTACATGTCTATAACCAAATTAACATAAGCAAAACTTCCGCCAACTTCAGCCAAATCAACTATTCTCAAAGTGTGTCAGGGTAAATACTATATGTTAAATTACATCAGGGTTATTCAGAGATTTTAAATTGAGTCAGAAAAGTGGTGAAGTCATAATTAAAATCAGAACAAAAGTATCTGGAAAATCACATCACAGAGATATAGCCTGCATGGTATCTGCAAAAGGAAATTATATCTTACTAATAGTGTTTTAAATATTTTAATAGAGTAATAAGCACAGCATTTGTGGGATGGTTTAAATAGGTCTTTGGGAAGTTGCAGTATAGGAATTACTGCAGAAACTAAATTGCTGCTGCCTAAGAGGAACAGTATTTAAGGAAATAAATATCTGATTAGGAAGCAGAAAGTAATTGATTCGTTTAAATCTTGCAACCAGTTTACAGAATTGCTTATGATTCCATGTCTGGATTCATGTTATATTCCTTAATTAACAGGCAAAGATAGAAATAGAAATGTAATGAAATTTTCATATGACATAGTTAAAGAATTCAGGATCAGAAGGGGCTGCGATACACTGAATTTACAAGGTGAATGGACAGCGTGATGGCAAAGAAAATTTAATGTCAATAGATGTAATATATACTGGAGGGAAAATATTAAAGAAGAATTTATCTCTAAATTAAGCATGTAAATTTAGGAAAAGACTTCAATACTAATGCAGACAAGCCAGTGAAGAACTTTCTTCCATATGTAGATGTATTAGGAAAAACACCATTGCACAAATCAAAGATGCACCTTGTCTGGAGTGTTGTTGACAAAGGTTACTTATCATGTAAGTGCTAGAGTGGGCTAGGAAAGCACAACAAATGTCTCACAGAAAGGCAAATAGGAAAAATACAGATTACCTTTTAGATTAATTAGTCTGACCGTGATAAAATTGAAGATCACAAATCTAAGTCAATGGATCTTCAAAAACACCACAGAGGAACTGGATATCTATACAAAATGGCAGTTTTCATAGTTCAAATTTTCATAATTAATTATTGTAAGTTTAGAAAGGGAGTTAAATTTCATGTGTCAGGATGGAACTAATTGCTTGTTATAAGAAAAATAACAGGAGAATTTCTGGAAGAAATCACTTATTTGGCAATATTCAGACTAAATATCTGTTCCTGGCTCCTGCTACATCACAAAGCTACATGGAACGGGCTATTGTTGAATAGGAAACAGTGTTTTCAAGATTTTTGGTCTTTTCTAATTATTTTCAATATTTCAGAAATGTTCCTGTTTGCTGAATAGTTAAAAAAAAAAAAAAGGTCCCTCAGAATCATCACTGTCTATGGGATTAAAGAACTTCTGGTGATCTAGTTTCAAGTTTCTGATAAAAGTTAAAAACAACAGAACCATCCTGAAACTGATCCCCCCCCCCATAAAAATACTTATTACTTTGAACAAGGTCCATCATGGTTCAGAACAATTTTTTCTACCATTCCCGAAACATAAAGCATGATGGTGCTCACTTCCAGTTTCTGGAGCAGTTGTCAATCTGGATTCATGATCCTTGAAAATGTGATATGTATCCTTGATGTGCATATTTTGCTTTGTACCATATCTATATTAAATGGAAGTGTACAACTGGATTTGGGTAGTGCTAGGAAACGAAGACTGTGATTTAAGGCCATTAACACAGTCCTCTTTGAACAGGTTTGTAGATAGAAAATTCTAATTCAAGGATAAGATGATACCCCTCATCAGTACAGTGCAAAAAATAAAATAAATAGTTGACTTAAGAATTTGCTCTTTCTCCAAATAATCAAGGTAAAAAAAAAAAAAAACCACAGCCAAGAGCATCTCTCATATCAGAGCATCACGTTTTCTAGTTCATCATTCTACTTTATTTCATGTCCTTTCCTTCCCAGCTACAATATATTAACCACATTTGTTCTCAGAAGGTAATCTGGCTCTTGATCAGTTGTAGACCAAATTCTTTGGGTAATCTATACATCTTTTTGCTGCACTTTAGATATATTGCTCTGCTTCTGAAAGAGCAATGTAAAGGATGGCATTTTAGTATCTCAAGAATGTGCCCAGCAGTAGAAAAGAGGATGGCTCTTTTTCATTTATTCCCTGTCATCTTAAGTTTGGCTATCAGGATTTGATCAGAACAATGCTATTGGCAACAGTAGTCAGAAGAAGGTTTCTCTGTCTTTTAAGATTTGTTGAGTATTTACAATATATTCCCTCAGAAAAAGTGTGGCCAAGGTGAAATTTCAAACAGATGTCACAAGAGGTTATAATAGGATAATCATAGACATTGGATAGATGTAAGAGGAGTTGCAGGCCAGAAAGGACTTTGCTCTGCTTGTGCTTGCCTCAGGCCCAGAACCATGGTGAGGCACATCCCATAAGATGGCAGGACAGAAATCAGAAGCACAGGGGTGCATTTGCATGTTTGCTTATAAGCCCTATCCAGTCTTGACATTTGGGGTTTCTGCTGATTTGGGGGTCCCTCTAGCACACTTAAAGTGACAGTGTAAGCATGCCTTTCTAAAACCATGGAGGGTTCTATAGCAGCTTCTTGGAGGAAAAAGTACTAAATCTGTAGTAATGACAGTTTTGCGAATGGCATGCTTCACAGCTTTGCTATGCAATATCACCTAGGAAAGCGGAGGGCCGTATCCTGGAAACCTTATCTGGTACCACTAAGTCTAGGCAAGAAAACTTTTTTCTACTGCTGGGCACATTCCTGAGATACTAAAACTTTATTTTCATTCTCGCAGGTGATTCTCCCACTTTAGATACCTCAGTACCCACTGTAGATACATGCACTATTTGCTTGGAATCCCAAGATGGCTTTTGGGGGACTTATATTTTGTCTCCAGATTTTGAATACTGCTCACACAGCACAGCTTTCTCTGGGGAAATAATTCCCTGTTATTTAAACTGGGGTTAAAGTTTAAAGCAGCAGTTTCCTTCTGGTCTCTTTTCAATCTTCCTTTCCACAAAACTTATGCTGTAGGATTTGCAGATGGGATCGCAGCATAATCAGGTCTTGTAAATCCTCATGTTAGGTAAAGGCTTAGAAACCTGAACATGATGTCAGGTGTTTTTTTTACTCATCTGTTTACCACCACAAGCTTTAATAGCAAAAAAGCACATATTTCTCTTAAACAAAGGATCTTCATAGACTTCCTCTGAACTCTCCTTACACCTTCATGCCTTCCCATTCAAATTATTGATTTTGAAATATTCACTCTGTGCCTCTATTTCCCAGTATTAGTGTCTGGGATGAAAAATGACTTTGTGACTAAAGAAGTATGAGAATATAGAAAGCTGGATTTTTCTCTCATGAACAGCAGAGCCAGGTGTCTGTGAGAAAACACTTCATCTTTCTGATTATCCGTTTCTTCATCTGGCAAAGAGATCTATTTCTATATTGCATAATTATGTATGGTTTGTGACATGCACGCTATATATGTCTGCGTGTTTGAATTATTTTCACTGATATTACATATTATTAACTTCAATTGTGAAAATACAGTATTTTTGTTTCTGTTTCAGCTGCTGTGAAAAAGGATGGGGAGAAGAAAGGTAAATCAATTATTTTCCCTTGACTGAAGTGTCTTTCAGGCTGTGACTGCTGCGAGAAATGCTTCTTTTATTCAGTGATACAATTGTGATGACATACACCACCTCATGTGCTACCATCAGCCAGTTTTATCTACTCCTACTGTGATAACACAGTTGTCATTTCCAGTATTGTTAGCTCCTTTTTACCACAGGCCAACACAGCCCAGTATCAGACACTTCATCTTTCTGACTGGGAAGAAAATGAAAGCTCTTTGTTACCATGTTAGGATTTGTCAGAGAACAAAACTGGCAGTGCACCGTGTATGCTGACCTGGCTGTTAGTTCTTTGCAGAAGACCCTTTCCTAGGCGCATTTAATTTCCTCCTTTCAGATATGTATGGAGGATGCACGTAATCTTTGCTGAAGTCTTTCTTTGGTATTTTAACAGATTAGTAGGAAAAATTGCCCAGAATCAGAATATAAAACATTACTTAATATGCTTAAAGAAAAATATACTGTATTTATCAGGCCCTAAATATATATATATATAGAATCAGACTTGCTGAGTTGAAACTTTTTTGTAATTTGTCAATTTTATTTCAAAACCAAAAATAATGAAATATTGGCATTAAGGCATTTTTCTTTAATCTATTCAACTTTATTGATTTATTTTTTTTTTAATAAGCCATACCTTGTTCACTAAACTGGGAATGTTTCCAGAAATTTTCCATAGGTTTCAGGGGATTATTTCATATTCAGCATTGAGTAAGTGAGGAAAAAAGATGTCTCTTTATTTCTGAAGTTTATTGATGGGGGGACTAAGGAGGACTAAGTGTCTCTTCTTATTTCAAAAAGATTTGGAAATTCTGTGATTCACACAGTTGAACAATGGAGCCAGCCTTTACTGTCTATACATGAAGATGTTTCCCATTCTTATAATTTATTATTTTTTCCATTATCCCTACTATAGAGTTGTTAACTGAACTGGAAAAAATTTATAATCTCAACTGTTTTAACAGTTCATGAGTGAAATCTTGGCTGTGCTGATGTTAGTGGCAAAATTCCCATTCACTCCACTGGAGCCAAAATTTCATTTCATGTGTTTAACTGAATAATAAAGTTCATTTGTATTATCAAAACCAGCCATGCTTAATAGGGATCAGGAAGGATATTTTGTCCAAAGATTAATTTACAGCAACTGAGGCATGAAAGGTAGCACACAAAGCAGGGAGAATAAGAAAACTGGCAAGTGCACTTAGAGCCAGTGGTTTTCAGACATCAAAATGCCTTCTGTGTTCACAGCCTTCAATTTATCACATGGACTGTTACATCCTTAATGGAAAGAAAGGAGTGAGGTAATTGTTAAAGGTGCTACTTTAGTCAGGCTTCACACAGGTTATGGGTGCATTCATTTACAGAAGAACATCAAGGGAATTTGTTTGAAATACCTACTGCTTGGTTCATTTCTTTTCATGGGTTAGGATTTTTTTCCTCCTTAACAATAATCTTCCCTAACAAAATTGATTAAAATATTAGTCTTTAATGTGCATGCTTTGAAGTTGGATCAATTTTTCCATTACATTTTCTTATATATTTTCTGCAAAAACCAAAATAATATTTTCCTCTGATTTCTGATTTTGTTGGAAAGATTTACCAACAAGTATACGTAGGATACTTTCAAGCACCTGGCTCAGGGCAGGGTGTACCTCATCTTGAGATCATCACCAACTACTCCACAGAAACATGGAGGTGCAGCCTGAAAGTCAGCTTTGGCCATTCTTAAGACATCATAATTTTATTTATTTTGGAAGTAAACCTCCCTCTGGTTTTCTGATATCATAAACTACATTGTCAGCAGAGGAAGTAGTGATTCTAGTGAAAACCATGTTAGTCAAATGAAATTTTCCACTAAGGAAAATTAATTCAGAGATGTTCCTGTCTTCAGTAGATATATACGAAACTGGACAAATGGAGAGAAGTAACAAAGCCTCCTCCAAAACCATGAACATGCCATGTTTTAGCTAGCTTCATACTCTCTGCAGGCCTAACATGGAAAGTATTGCTTATTATTACCTAATTTCTATTATGATCAGGTTTTATTTATTTCTGCTTATTCTGTTACGATAAAAATTGCTCCAGGGTGCATGTCTATTCCTCTGACTGGCAAGAAAAAAAGGCAATGATGTTTGCTGGTTTTGCTTAGGGATACAGTATTTTTGCCCAGTTGCAAAAGTAATAGAAGTAGCCAACGAGAGCTCCAAACTGACTGGCTCATTATCCAAAATATATTGCAGTAATAGGATGCATAGTTCAGATACCACTTTACCATTTCTCATGCGAATCACCATAAACAGAGCATATAGGGACTGTACTGTATGCGAAGCTTCTCCAATTATTCTTTTTCCAATACACACCCCTCCTCTAGAAAACCAATAATGAGCAATACAGTGACAAGCCATCACAGAAAGAGAAGATGGAATGTCATTTTCTATCAATGGTGCATTCTGTACATAGCCCAAATCAGACATAGAGGAGTTTGAAAGACAAAGAAAGAACAATATTAAAGTGAAGAAATCTTATGTACTTCAGTGATTCACCAAATACCAGTGATACTAACAGGAACCTTAAGGCACAATTTATACATGAAATTTACATATTAATCCTTTCTATTTAAAAGGTTAGCTCTCTAAGACATTGTGACTGAAGTCCTAAGACTTTGTGACCAAAGCTTCAGCTTCCAGCATCTGTTATGACTTCTTTCAATGTGTGTGAGAGAGAGGCCATGTCATAGAAATGTATAAACAGTTAGCAATTCCTAAAGGTCAAGAGGCAGCAATTTTTTGCTTGAGTAAGGTAGTTCCTAAAATCCCCAAGAGCAAATCTGGCTACCAGAACATGAAAATTTTTAACCCTTGCTCATAATTCAAAGTGCTGCAATCAGGGATTCGAGTGAATTACAATACTCACCTGCACTGGTGATTTGTGACAAAGCCCATCAGCCTCAGGGCATCTCCAAAAAACAATAAATAGAGCTGTAAAAAAAAAAAAAAAAAAAAATCAGCACTTTTTCAGTTTCAAGTGCCCTCTTGAAACAAAAGGAATTTTAATATTTTTTAAATCAAACCACTATTTTTGTATTTCAGTAATATTTCATAATTCCAGAGAGCTTCAAAAACTCTTTGTGTGAAAGGTAGCCAGATTAAAGCCAATTTCAAGATTTCTTAGTTCTGCATAAAATGGAATATCTCATTTCAGTTCACAGTTCTTTTACCTTATTGATATCTGACTAAAGAGGGCATGGACTAAGATAGGGATGTCAAGCAAGCACCCTTAGTAAATTCTCTCTCCATGTCAGCTTGCCTTAAGATTCTTTGCTTCTGTGATTCTAATGAACCCATTTAACCATCGCAGAATCCTTGTGGGTTGTGCACTCACATGCATATGTGTAATAACAGTCCCATTGTTTAAAGTGAATTGTGAACCTCAGTTGTCAGGAAGTTGGTTTCTCCAGGCTTCCTGCAGAGAGAGAAATCTTGTCTTGCTTCTGGGGGCAAGTCGGAATCCACCTCTAATTCAGGATAGTTGTCTTTTGGGAGTCCCATCTCCTATATAAACTACATAGAGTTAGATGTTATGAGTACTTGTAAGCTAGTTGGATGCAGAAGAGAGTTGCCTGTTGCTAACATGTCTCCCGTTCTGATTTTCAGCATTATCACTCTGGCAGTTTGCCCTTCAATTCATTTAATAGTTTAAAAAAAAAACCACATTCATCTGACAAGTTTCATTGGCAGTAATTTCACAGGAAGGTATGAAGGATCATGTTTTAACCTTTTCCTAATAAACACATTATGGTGTAAAACACTGCATATAGTCTGAGTGTAGCTAATATCAAAAAATGCAGAAAATGGGTAAGGCATGTACATTCCAGCTCCAAACTACATATTTTTGCCAATCCAGTAAAGGACAATTTCTTTCAATTACTCCTGGTAATAATACCCTATCCATTGTTTGTCAACTGCTGCTATGCATACAGAGTATGGTATAAACTGGCCAAGGCACAGCAATGTCCTTTGTCAATGTATATAAAAATCAAGATGCTTTCCAAAGTAAAAAAGAACTGGTCAGTAGTGCATTTCAGAACTGCTTAGCTTTGGAGTTGACCAGAAAACTGGAAGACAGCCTTCTTATTCATAGAGGAAATGGTCATATCAGGGTGGGATTTCTGCTCTCATCTGTGAGTACCACCAGTGCAACATGAACCACACTTTCACAGGTAGTTTTCTAATATGCCTAATTCTAGAACTACAAACTGTATAACACAGCCTGCTAACAGAATGTGTACTCCTAAAAAGAAAAAAAAAAAAAAGGTAGGGGACAAAAAAAAAAGTAGAAGAGCATGTTCTTAAAACGGTGTCAAAAATACTGTATTATCTATGGGAAGATAATAAAACCAGTCACATGCTAATATGATGTTAAACTAGCAGTGCTATTTTGACTACAGTTAGGATAGGCATCTCTCTCAAGAGGTTAAAATTACTGAATTAGCCACAAGATGGAGCTCAAAAGATCTTCAAGCCAGTAGTTAACATTCCTTCCTGAACCAGATTAAGAACTAAACAACATTGGTTTACTGAAGAACGCTTCATAGGAGCCTTAAACTACACACAAGGTGTAACTCGGTGTTAATCCGGTCCTACCTGAAGATTTTTTTCGTTTAATAGATGACTGGCCATACATTAGTATTTGACTTCCCAAGGTGAAGCAACAAAACCTTGGCATTTTCAAGGAATAATGATAGCTGGAGCATTTGAATGAAATGTGGAAGATGCTTTGAAAAGTCTGCATCATTTAGCTGAAATTTGCTTGACCTCTGTTCACCTCATCTCAGCTATCTTGGGGGTTATAAATAATTTATGTTCATTTTGCAGGGTTATGAGAGACTTACTGGTCTGTACAACCTTTGTTAAGTGATGGCCAGATCTTGAGGGACCAGGCTCATGTACTTTCCATGTTGCAGATAT